TTTCCAGCAGAAAATGTTTGCAAACAATAACACCAGGTACAGGCCAAGAAAAGAACATAGTTTCCCATAGTATACTAGGTAATTGCAGCAAGATCAGTGGAAACCAAATGCATTTATTATTTGCAATGTAATTCAATATACTAAGAGATGGCACACACTTTATTTTAATTAGCTGTTTCTTTTAAGGGGTTGCTTGCTCCCACTGTCTTGATAAGAAAAAATTGTAGTCATTGCTCAAAATGCTTGTAGCAAATCTAGTTTTAAATTGAAACAATTTATTCCAAAGCAGTCTACTACTGCAGCAATAATCAATGTGTTTTCCCTTAGCCTGTACTGGAGCTTTCCAAGGACTATTGTTAATTGCCTGTAACTAAATGATTGCTGGGGCCCTTAAATGCAACTCTTTGGCACTTGTTCATTTGTTGTTTTTAACCAAATGCCAGTTTTCCTTAGGTTTTGCCTAGCAATTTTGCTTTTACAATTTTCAATATTCAGTCTCAGTCCCTTAAAGGGGGCAGAGTCTATCATTTTAACAAAATAACACAAAGGCTAAACAGATTTTAAAAGGTCTGCACTTTCTCCTTCGGTCCTCAGATGTTGAATTGTGCTGAAATGGAATCTTTTTATTTTTTAAATGCTGCCACTCCAGGCAACTTGAACTAGAGCTGAAAGGCAGATCCCATTTCAAAGGGAAAATGACATTTGCTGGGCCAACACCATTTACATTGTAAAGATAAAATACAGCAGTGGGCCCAAATGATTTCTCTTAACTGTGACAGAATTTAATCCTTAGTAATTTTGTATAACCCAAAGGATAAGCAATAATATGGTAGCACATGTATTAATGAATCTGTCTGGCTTGGAGCAAAAGAATACAAAGGCTAAATCTAAGGCACCATTTTCTTTGAGAGAGTTTACATATGCTATATAAACCAGTGTGACTTACTTAAATGGAAAAAAATTTAACTTGCATACATGTATAATGTGTAGGCATGTGTATTACACTCCTGCATAGAAATAATGTACTAACTGAGGAGCAGGCACTGTACACCATGGGGAAATACACATTTCCATCTTGTTCCTGACCTCTTTATAAGGACATTATGAGAACACTATGCTTCTGCAATGTAATACTACAGAAGTCCCTGGGGGAAAGTCTGCGACGCTCTCAGGATCTCAGGATAAATTAGCTCCTTGTAAATTCTGTTTCTTTAGACTCGTTTTTGGTATTTCTATTATTAGTAAACGACTATCTATGGCCCAGAAGAATTATTCTTGCTTATTGCTCATTCTCTAAGCATATATAACTTTTCATATGTTTGTACTCTAAAGCAGTTTTTCATGTGACACAAGACTGTTTCTGTAATTGCTAAGCTACATCAACCCTGCTCTCTTTTTCTTATTATATTTTAAACAACACTATTGATTGGCTATGTAGAGTATTCTAAGAAATGTATATCATTTTTCAAATGGCTCGTGACATCTAGCAATGGGAGTAACTCCTATTTGGGTAATTGCTTTGCTAAAAATAAGAAGGACTTATTTTCATACAATTTTTCTCTAATTTGCATGTATTCAATTGCTCAAAATTTAAAAAGTATATAGAGACCAGTATTATAAATACCATCTGGAGAAAATGAGAGTTCTGTTGATTAGATTGATCAGATTATGTTTCAGGCAAAGGTTTTTTGTTATTTCCAAAGCTCCTTGAGTATATATGGGCACTTAAGACATGCCACATGCCCAGCCCCTGTGCAGTGCCTCCAGATGCAAAGAATGTGCTTGGGGACACCACAAAAGAATCATTCTCTGCCTGGGCGCTTATCTAGAGCAGAGCAGCTTTCCCGACTCCCAGCTTTCTTCCCACACTTCTCCCCACATAGGCCTTTGGTTAGAACTTAAGTTTTTCTTAAAAGAAATCAAAATGTTAAAGAATTGAAATATGATTAACATAATATAAAACATGGAGCTCTAAGTGTTTGGCTAAATGAGTTCCGACAAATATAAACACTTCTGTATCCACACCAAAACCTATTTCCTTTACCCCAGACAGTTTCCTCTTGCTCCATTCCAATAAGTTTCCCTTCACTCATCACCAATGAATCCATTTCCTGATTTATGTCACTATGGATTATGTTGGTCTGTTCTTCAGCATAATTTAAATAGAATCATACAGTAGGTATTATTATGTGTCTGACTTCCTTTTTCTAACATAATTTTGTAAGAGTCATGCATGTTTTATGTATCAGTAGTTTATTACTTTTATCACTGAGTATATCCTATCATATGAACATACAATCATTTGTTCATCATTTCCCGTTAATGGACATTTAAGTTGTCTCCATTTGTGGCTGCTGTGAATAAATAAGACTATTCTGAGCATTCTCATCCAACTCTTCTTGCAGATATCCACTTATATTTCTCTTTGACAAATACCTAGGAGTGGAATTGCTATTGATATGGTAGATTTATATTTAATTTTATTAGAAATTACCCCAAAGTTTACAATGTGGTAATATCATTGGGTACTGTTACTAGCAATGTTTGGGAGTGGAAGCTAAGTGTTCTTGATTATTTTTCCATTTCTTTTTTTGTACAAGAAATTTTTGAGTGGTAAATTCATAGTGTTTAATATACTAAATTAGAAAATCTTAAAAGAAGCCATAGTCGAACTGCTTATTTCTCACATTATATCCAGTGTATTTTAAATCACGTCTTCCTGATTTATAAATCACCCTGTGGGCATAAGTTTGAATTTTACACAGGCTTCTCTGTATGGTGGAGTTTGTTATCTTGAGTGAACAAGACCCAATGTATCCCCACAGGATTAGCCGCTCACCCTTTCTGTTCATATAGTAGGGGGAAAACATTATACTGAAGAACTTTTTGTATTTTGTTCCTGGTATTTTTGTAGTGCTGTCTTGTGTGGTTCCTCACAATGGTAATCAGATAAGCTGCTGGAGGTATTTTGTAGTGTTTCACACTTCATATTAATTTACTTAGATTATAAAAGATTTGATCTCACTTTATTTTTTATTTCTTAAATGCATACGGTTCAATCATTTTAAATAATATTTTCTTTAATTTCCCATTTAATTTTAATAATTACAGAAAAATACACTTGATTAAACAGTAGTTAATGTGTTATTTATTAAACTGTAGAATGAGAAGTCAAGGGCTAGGTAATAGGAAATATGAATGAGGATTTTGTTTTGTTTTGTTTTTTGTTTTTTGAGACAGAGTCTCGCTCTGTTGCCCAGGCTGGAGTGCAGTGGTGCGATCTCAGCTCACTGCAACCTCCACCTCCTGAGTTCAAGTGATTCTCCTGTCTCAGCCTCCCAAATAGCTGGGATTACAGGCACCCGCCATCATGCCCAGCTAATTTTTGTATTTTTAGTAGAGACAGAGTTTCGCCATGTTGGCCAGGCTGGTCTCAAACTCCTGACTTCAGGTGATCTGCCTGCCTTGGCCTCCCAAAGTGCTGGGATTACACGTGTGCCCAGCCGGAGGATTTTTTTTTCTGTAATTATTACAGGAAAAGTGACATCACATGCAAACACACACATACACAATGTTCTTGTGAGAAAATGATGGCCATGCTTTTCAGATTGTTTGTCACTCAAACTACACCAGTCCCATCATGATTTCACCCCATTTGTGAGAACTCAGGACTGATCTTATAACCTGAGGGTACTTGTTACCGGCAAAACCATGGATTATTTTAAAATTCTCAGTCTAAGCTTACTTACATTGACTGTGTTATAAAATTAGATAACTTACTGGTGGATTCTGAATTACAGAATCAAGAACAACATTATTTTACAGCTTTGATTTCAGAAATGTTTGTATTTAATTGTAATTAAGGAAACTAGTACTTTTCAAGGTAGCTGTCAACTGCAGGGAACAATGGCTACCCATCAGTGACAACATTTGGGCTATGATGATCAGGACAACACTTAGTTAAAGTGAGTTTCAAAAATCTGTACATGATGGCTTACTATTTAAATACCGGTATCCTTATTTTTGTTACAATGTCCATAGTTCTAAAGAAGGAAAAAATAACAAAATATTTTATCTCCAAGTTTTCCTGATAAGTTTTGATCTAAGGTAGATATTCAATAGAAAAAGGAGGATTTGTATACAGTGAGTGTCAAGAAAATTCCTTTTTTGGATAGAACGTAATAACATGCCTGGTAAAAGGGGAAGCCAAAATTTTAACAAGTAAATGGTTGAATGAAAATAAAACACCATCAACATATTCATATACTGTCCCATCCACTAGGAGGCCTACTTCTTACACCCAAAAAGCATTCAGCCTCCAAGATTATGGTAGACCACCTTCGTATCACTCTATTCAGGAAGATACAACACAGGAGCCATTGCTCCTGGCAGGAGTCAGCAGACAGCATTCATTAGATAGTCTTCCCAACATTCTATGCAATAATCCACAGTGCTCTCCTGGAACTGTGTTGTTTGACCTGTCACCTTTCTTTGGCCCCCAACCCACAGGTGACAGCTCAAGTGAGAGGGATCAAGATTCTCATTGGGAAAGGCCAAAAGTCATGCTAGCTTAAAAGCTTCATATCCACAGGAATCAGTATTTATTTTATCAACCCCATAAGCATAGCTTCCAGAATCTCCACAAGGGATACATTTATATAAGAGAAGTATGGCACTCTGGTGAACCCATTATTATAGTTTACAATCAGATGTTAACAGTTCTCTTAGTCCAAATGCAAGCTACCAACCAAGGTTCATTTTTACCACAAGCAATGTTGCTTAGCAACATAGTTATCACATACCACCTTATCTAGTTACCAAGGAAACAGAGCTAGAAAGTTATCGAAAGGTCAAATTCTCATGCGAAAAGGAAAGGGGTTGTGTTAACCCATTACCCACATCTCATCTCGTGCAGGAAAATGTGAAATCAAATTGAATTTAATTTGTGATTTTGGATGTGAATACTATATAATTCCCCATTGTGATTTTTTTCTTTCTAGAGCTAATGTACACAGTGGAACTTGCTGGAGGGCTTGGTGCTATTCTCTTGCTGCTTGTATGTTTGGTGACCATCTACAAGTGTTACAAGATAGAAATCATGCTCTTCTACAGGAATCATTTTGGAGCTGAAGAGCTGGATGGAGGTAGGATGTTACCTCTTTTATTGTTCTTTCTGAACATTCTAGTTTCTTTCTTGTCTTTGTTTTATTAAGGGGAAAAAAGTCACCTGCATAATCAATGGCAGCAGCTCTTATATTCTTTCAATGCTCAGTTTGTAAATTTCTCTTTTGTAAGGAAATGTATGTGTGATGCTTTAGAGCCAATACTGTAGGTATTTTTCTCTGAAAGTTGTAAAGCAACACCTACCCATTTTAGAATTGTATTCCAAACAGCACTTACAAATTACAAACACTGATTGCAATGCCATCAGAGCGTTCATTTTCTCTCACCTTGTAATCAGGACTGAAAGGCCAGTTTTACTTTTTTTTTAGGTAAGGAGTGTCTCTTTTAATTGTGTTTTCTAGCCCAGTAGTTTGAAGTGAATCTCAATTTGTTCCTGTTTAGACAGATCCGTTATAATAAACTGTACTGAGTATATTAAATTCATCCAGCAGTCTTTTCAATCTTGTTTATTTAGCTATATTTAGATAGGTTAATTTGTATTCCGAGTGTGTACCAACAGAAAAATGCACAAGCACATTGATTTCATAATAATGCATCTCATATTTTTACTGTAAGTACACAAATAAATATTGTTTTGTGGAAATCATAATTAGTATTTGCTTCTGGTCACCAATGAATACGTGTGCAATCTAAGAGGAAAATGGAGTCCTTAAAATTCAGCTCCCTAAACTGCATATTAGACTTAGTTTATTTTCCTTTTTGGTCATTTTTTAAAAACATAAGATAAACCAGCAATGTGGGAAACATATGCAAACTGACAATACAGATGACAAAGGTTTCTTCATCTTTTTTTTTTTTTTTTTTTTTTTTTTTGAGATGGAGTTTCACTCTTGTTGCCCAAGCTGGAGTGCAATGGTGCGATCTGAGCTCACTGCAACCTCCAGCTCCCGGGTTCAGGCGATTCTCCTGCCTCAACCTCCTGAGTAGCTGGGATTACAAGCGCCCGCCATCACGCCCAGCTAATTTTTTGTAGTTTTAGTAGAGACAGGGTTTCACCAAGTTGGTCAAGCTGGTCTTGAACCCCTGACCTCAGGTGATCCACCCGTCTCGGCCTCCCAAAGTGCTGAGATTACAGGCATGAGCCACCGCACCCGGTCTCATCATATTTATATACGGTTTTTTTCAGTGATTTTCAGTTTTGCAGTAAATGGTACCAAGGAAAATGAGGCAATTGCCTATGTTGCCACATTTCCAGGGTCCTCTGGAATAATAAATCCACAAGCAAAACTGTAGTCTTGCAGGTTTGTAAAGAGAAGTGGTTTATTCAGAATGCCTAACACTCCTCTTGGTTTACCCTTCTCTCTTTCCCATTAGGGTGAAGGCTGAGCTGCAGCAAAACCAGTTTTTTTTCTTAACTTTTAAATTACCGGTTTGCCTATTTGTTTCTAACTTTCTTGCCTATTGATACAAATTATTATTATTATTTTTATTGCTGCTGCTGCTTTAAAGAAATATAAGGACTTTAAAGAAATATAAGGACTTTGCCATTGTCGAAACTACTGTTGAATGAGTACCAAGCATAGTGCTAGGCATTCTTAAAGTCATTCTTGCTAAGCCTCACAAACATCCTGAGGTCAATGTTGTAATCTCCATTGTACTGATGAGGCAACTGAGACTTTCAGAGGTTAAATAACTTACTCAAGAAGATAACACAAATACCGTAAGTGGCCAAGATGGGATTTGAAAATAAGTCTATTCCCAAAGCCTTTATCTTATCGGACACTCTCTATTATTTTTATTTTTTTTAATTTAGTATGTTCAGTATAATCTAAAGATCTGCTGTTGTTTGCACAATGAGCACAGTGCATGGTATTTGAAAAAGTACATTACCTAAACAATCTCCCCTTTTCTATTAACCCTATTTTGAATATGTTTATTTTGTGTTCTGAATGATATGAATGATGTTACCAAACCATCAGTTTCTAGGGTAGTAATCTATCATTTTCTGAATGTAGAAAATTCTGGAATATAATGAAAACGAATTAATCATATGCAGTTGAACTTTCAATGATTCGAAGTTTCTTTTAGTGGGTCCTGCTAGTTGTAAACATTTAAGTGACTGACTTGGGCAGCCTTACCAGATTTCATTGCTATTCTGAAGCTGCTGGGTTCTCAGTTTTTTAAAAAATGTCTTAAGTAAGGAAACAAAACAGACAAACACTAACAAACAGTATTCTAACAGATGAGAAGGTTCTCTCGGAAAGCCAATTTAGTTAATAAATGCTTTAGCAATTCTTAGAACTCTGTCTCTGGGGCCATCTTAAGCACAATCGAGGGTCTAACTATTAGGGCTTTTCTTGAAATGCCACTGAAAATGCATTAGGCCCAAAGAAAACCAAGATAACAAAGTTAATTGTCATCTGGAAAATGTTAATGTACAAGTTATTCCCCTAAAAAGGGGGCGGCGGGGGGAAGCAAAGACTGTCAAGGCAGTGATTGTTCAAATGGTTTTATGGGAAGAAATTATTACTAGAACCGCAATCACATGTTCAGCCTCCCTATGTTAAAGCAGACCCGTTCCTGCTGAAATGGTGGTCAGGGGCCCACTCTTAACGCCTATCTCCCGCTGCATCATAGCTAACCTCTAGAACTTGCAGAAACACTTTTTATCAGAACCATACAGCAGTACTAATAATTATATAGCAAGTTTAAAATCTATATCTTAACAAAAGTTAAATATGCAAAAATGCAACTTTCTTTAATTCTCTAGTGCTCTAAAACCATTCAACTTGGCTCTCAAGTTCCCATTTCTACTGAGAAAAAACTCATAACCTTGCTTCTCCAAGATTACTCAGTCACTTCTGGTTTGGAATTCAGCTTCTTGTGGGTTAACACTCAGTTGAAAATTGGAATATTCCATTTCCCTTCTTGTCTTTTACTCTTGTTTAAACCTGTTTCTAGGGAACTCATATATAGCTTTCCGGTAGAGGAGAAAGTCACCTGGTGCATATGCCATCCCTTCCTCACTTGAGATACTACCACCTGGTCTTTGGACATGTTAAGCACTGACTCCTGAAGGCTTAGATCCTTGTCATGGCCTCCAGTCACAAGTTTCACACACTTGCCCAGATGTTTCTCCCTTGGGAATTTCAGACAGTCTTACCTGTGTTTCTAGTCCCATAAGCTCTGCTACACACATACCCACCTTCCCATTAAAAAACAAAAAAAAAAGTAATCATCTTCTTTATCCTTTGCATCTTTAATATACGGTTTTCACATTGAGTGCAAGATTTCTCTCTGAAGTTTACAGTTTCCCAAGATTTTCCCTGGGAAACTTGACGCAAATCCTCACCCTTCTCAGATTCTGCTCAAACCATAGGAAGTTCTGTTATCCTCTTCTCCTCTCTGGGGCCCTGAGAACCCCTTCTCAGAAACCCATGCAGGCTTTAAACCTTAGGCACAGCCCCTTAGAGCCTCCTATACATGCTTTTATGGTCAAAGAATTATCCACTCTTCCAATACTGAAAAACTTCTCTGACATCATCAAATCCCCATGCTTCCTAGCTCTGCAAGCTTTTTCCTCCTCCAAATAAGACATGGCTATTCAACAAAACCCAAGGCTTTGTAAATTCTTGTCTTGGCTTTTAAAAAGTGTAATTTAGAGTCAAACCTGAGCAATGCCTCCTTTATTCATGGCTATCATATTTACCTTCCCTGAGGGGGTAATTCATAAAATACTTTTGGAAGTAAGGTAAGGCAAAAAGTGTGGAAAATAACCAGGGGAAAATGTTTTGTAATATCCTACTATAGCAATATGATAATAATAGATTCAATGGCCACTTATTGAATAACAAGTGATGTGTTGACTACTTTATCAGTAATCAGAGAATCACACAATTAGAAAGACAGAATTTAAGCTCCGGTCTAAATGACTCTAAATTCCAAGATTTACAGCCATTTTATCAGACTTGCAGATGGAGCTTCTGGCCTCAGGGACACATTCACTCCATTCCTTTGGAGTCATTACAAAAGGCATTATCTGGGTATATCAGTTCTTTATCAGAAGAATTATGATAAAGAAGGATTCTAATATTTTCTCAAGATAGAACATATTGATGCTTTTCTCTCTCACTTCGTTTGCATCACTCCTTGTTCCCCTCTACATAACCTTACATTTTACTGTCTCCCCTGGTCAGTCCTTAGCATTTCTAATTCCACAACACTCCCCGCCTATACTCATTCTTTGTCATCCTCCATTGTACACCTCGGTTCCTTGTATCACCCTCTACCTCATTGGCTCACACTTTCTCCTCATGTGCCATTTCTAATTACTCATCAATATCAGTCAATTGCATCTCTCAAAAACAGATCTTTTCCTTACCATTAATTGCAACCTCTTTGTCCAAGCCTCCTACACCACCCTCTTGCTTTCATTCTCTACTTCTCTATCTTATCCTTCACATTCCAACAGAATTATCTAAGTACAAATTTACTGTTCTATTTTTTAAAATACCTCCATTTTGCCTGCCAGAACAAGTCTAGACTTAGCTCAGAAAGCAACTGCCATCAAACGGTGAGCCACCTTACTTTTGTGGCATTGCCACCCCCATGGGATCTCAACATGCAGAGTTCTAGTTAGAATAAGATGTTAGTCTTTGGAATAACACAACTGTTGAGAATGAACCTAAGACAATGTAATCATGCATAATTCTCTGAGTTTTTTGGGGAAAATGAAGTAACCACAATGGTTAAGGGGAGGAGAAGATTAGCTATCCCCCTACCACTTTGATTCCACAATAAAAGGAAAGAAAGTTTGGACAAATTCTGCCACAAAAATATTTATTAGCAGACAGCCTTATCACTCAACTTATAAATCAGAAGTTCCAATTCTGTTGTATATGTGTATGTTTGTGTGCATATGTGAATCTGCATGTGTGCATACTTTTCAGAAACCTTGCAAGAAATTTTCTCCCAAGGCAAATATAGCAATACGTCAGTGGTAGGATTGAACTTACCTTCT